GAATGGGAAGCCGAAAGGCGATAATGGCAATGACTTTATTAAAACAACAAAGAGAGATAATGTACAAGTATCAAAAGCTTTGATCCAAACCAAAAAGTAATAGAAGAAAGAAATAGGAAACAAACCACTCCACACCACCAAACTAGGTGAACAATACCACCCCTGTGCGTCCAACAGAGACGGAGAAGTGCATCTACAATGAAACAACCCAATCTCACATGGTGTGAAGACTCCTAACACAACAAATACACATTAAAAGACCTTCCACTTATGCCAAGTTCTAGAGCAAACACCATTGAAAGAAGGAGCCTTGCAGGACCCATTGACATCTTGAGATGATAGCGAAAATCCACTCGACAACCTCCCCACGTTATCAACAAACATGCTAAAAAAACCAACATTATGTGCCTATTCCATACTCCGATAACCACCTTGATCCATCCTCCACGTGTGCTTTACCGTTAGCCATGATCCTCCACTTTTTGCCTACCACCATATATGGTAGACCGTTATCCTCAAAAACCCGTTGATTCCTCTCAAGCCAAGCAACCCACCAAACGATATGAAGAGCGTAGCTGTCAAACCATTTCTTAATCCTATCCCCTCCTGCATCATGCCAATGAGTGATAATATTCCTAATCTATCCATCCCATCTTGGTGTAATACTCCTCCTGCTATATACTGTCCTACAAACATTCTTAACAAACAAACATTCCACAAACATGTGGTAGACAGATTCTTCCTTCTTAAAACATAGACTGCATCTATTGGCAAGACACATCTCTATCTTCTTCAGATTATCAAGAGTGAGAACTCTATTATGATATCCTAGCCAAAGTAAGAAACAAACTTTGCAAGAGATCAACGACTTCCAGCCTTTATCAGTTGGATACCCTTGAAATCATTCGTAGCCAACTCCCTGTACATTGACCTCACCGAGAAATTCAGATCAACCTCAAGTTTCACGTGATCTTGCATGGACTAAAAAACTTGCTCGACAAATTCAGAGAATTCAAAAGGTTAAGTAAATTGATCCTTTCCAATCTGCTCCACCTCTCAACATGAATTTAAAGCTAAGATTCCAACTCACCATTCACACTCGTAGTGTTTAATAAAAGAACTTCAGGGTCATAGACAGCAGCAGCAATGCGAGGGAACGAGGCAGCAAGCACGGTACCTGGGATCCAACAATTATGCCAAAAACAAAATTTAAGTAACATTCCCCATATCAATATGGGTGAACTTCCAAAACTGATCATATTCTTTACTGATATTCGCCACACCGACCTCGACAATCCACTTCTAACTCGTCTAGTCTGCCAACAAGATAGCTTATTCAAATCCTTACAATTAATTAATTCTTGCCATCAACTATTCCTCTCCTGATCAAACCTCCATAGCCACTTAGATAACATCACATCATTAAACATATTCTGGTCGTGGATACCGAGCCCCCCTCCTTTTCTGCTGATTTAAACAGTTTCCAATCCAAAAGAACAATTTTGTGGCACTCTACCTTCCTACTCCACATGAATCTTCTCTAATAACTCTCAAACTCTTTCACAACCGAAGTCGGAGCCTTGAACAGGGAGAAAAGGTACTTTGGAGTGCTGGAATGTACTAATTTAGTTAAGATGAGTCTAACTCCGGTAGATAGATTTTGGCTTCCCCACCCACTCAACCTGCTTTGATACCTCTCCACCATATCATCCCATATCGAGTTCTCTTTCGGTTTAGCCCCAAAAGGAAACAACAGATACTTAGGTGGATCCCTACTACATTTGCACCAAAAAAACGCAGCAAAGAAACTTGGTTCAACCACATATCCCATTGTATACATAACCGACTTATCCAGATTAATCCTTAACCCTATCACCATTTGGAAACTCATAAGAGTGGTAAGGATATTCAGAACCTGTTCATAGCTTGCATCGCAGAATTTTAGTGTATCATCGACATAAAGCAGATGAGTAAATTCCCCTTGTTTCCTTTCCTCATTCATGAAAAACCCTTCAAAATTACCATCTTCCCTGACAACTTTCAGCATCCTAGGTAGCACCTCCATAGCCATCCCAAAGAACCCAGGTAAGATTGGATCTCCTTGACGAAGACCTTTAGAAACCGGGAAAAAAACAGTAGCCTCTCCGTTAACGAGAATAGATATTCTAGATGAAAACATAGACCCCTTCATTCAACTATTCCAAGTCTCTCAAAAAACCATCTACTCCATCATCTTCAAAAGACATCCCCAATTAACGTTATCAAACACCTTTTTCAATATCAAGCTTGAACATCAGGTCGGGTTTCCAATTCTTGCGCCAGCTATCAACTAGCTCATTAGCCAGGAGACCAGCCTTGCCAAACTGTGTCCCTTGAATTAACGAATGTTTCCTCTATGATATAAGTTTAGGGAGCCCCCCCCCCCCCCAATCTCTTAGGCAACACATTTTTTATCAGTTTATTAATACTTCCAATCATATTAATCGGCAATAGATCCTTGATCTCTTCAACAATATCTTTATTAGGCGCCAAGTGAACAAATGAATGAGTGACACTTCTAGGGCGAGTCCAAGTGATATAGAATTCCTGAAAATCTTTCAGAATGTCCACTATCAGCCAACCCCAACAACGCTTGAAAAACTCCATGGTGAAGCCGTCGGGACCAGGCGCTTTGCTACCATCACATTCCATAATACCTGTCCAAATTTCCTCCTCTGAGAAAGGGTGACTCAACAGAGACCGATCAACATCATCCAACTGCTTCTCCCAGGTCCACCTATGGATTGGCCAATACACTAACAATTCTCTAAAAAGCTCTTGGTAGAAATGAACAATACCTATAACAATCTCTATCCTTCCTTCTACCATTTGCCCCTCAATTCGCATTATGTCAACACTAATTTACCTTCCCTTTGTAATTTGCAATCTTATGAAAATATCAAGTGTTTTTGTCCTCCAATTTAACCCTTATTTATGCAAATTCTGCCTCCAACAAATCTCTTGAAGAAAAATAGTCTTACTCAGTTCAAGCTCTAGACTTGATCTTTCCTCCTCATTGTACTGGAGACTTCGTCCTTCCTCTGCGATCTCGAGCTCCTTGATCTTTCCTAGCAGGTCCGTAAACTTTTTATCAATATTCCCTAAAACCTCTTTATTCCAAACTTTCACCTTGGCTTTAACGTGGTATAACTTTCTTGCAAGCAAGAAGACAACCCCCACACTTTACACACTCTCTGCCATCCAGTTACTGAATTCTTGGTAAAATCTTGTATCCTCCAGTCACATGTTCTAAAATCTCCATAACCCTTTAACTTGCTTATTCTCTCGCACTTCAGAACCTAAAGATTCTGGTCCGGATCAACTCTCTCCATTGACGTCATAGTGAAATCTGGATATAAGAGATCAAACCCTTGAGAAATGATAACCCTATCAATTCTTGAAAGTGAGGTCCTGCTTGATCAATGGCTCCATGTAAAGTTACTTCCACCAAGAGGAAGATCCAAAAGCCCATTACCATCAATAAAATGATTAAACTCGTACCTCATCTCCAAGCTCTGTCATTATCCAATATAATCGTATGGCTTCTTACCAAGTTGGAATCCCCTGCAATGCACACCGCCCTTGTCTACAAGGAGCAATACGTCTGAAATCTCTTAGAAACACCAATTTTTCTTTCTTCTCATGCGTTTCATAAATCACAATCAAAGGACATTCAGTTAAAGTGCCCTGCTCCACCAGTTCAATCGAGACAAAGTAATTCCCCTCAGAGAATGATCTTTTCGAGTAATACAGCTTATCCCAAACCACAATGATTCCACCCGAGCTTCCTCTTGCATCTTTAGCAACCTAATCCCAATCATTCCTACCAAAAACACTTCTGATCAGTCTCTCTAAACACTAACCAATTGGTTTCAATTAACCCCACTATTTTGGGTTGTGTCTCCCTATAAGGCGTTTGATCCTACATCTCTCATCCCATTTTCCCAGCCCCCTCACATTCCATATGCACACCGATGTACTCATTGATCACTTATCACCAGAAGACCTACCCTTTCCTGCACTTCTTAGGGCCCTTCGTGGAAGGCTCCACCGGTCTTAGTAGATGATTCTCCCTATTGAGCTTTGATCGCAGACTTCGAACCTTCCTCTAGTGCATCCCTTTTGCTGATTGCGTAACCAAAGCTTCTGCCGTCTCTTGTCCCTCAACACATTCTAACTTCAGTATCCTTCCAATTGAAACGCATGCCTCAATCAGAGTAGCTTCACCGAACAGATATCTCTCTGCTTCCAAGTTGTAGCTCGTGTCGTTGATATAGCATGATGGAGATGGCATATCGCTGTATTCTACCCCCGAAGTGCTCATATCCAGAGAATAAACCATCATAGTTTGTGGCACCCAACTACCATTCCAATCCTCAAGTATTTCCTGTGACATCATTACATATTTCAACGGGTAAATTGCAAGTTTGGTCACTGGAATTACGAAAAAATTTCACGTTTGCCACTAGAATTAGTTTATTCCATTCATGGTCACTAAGATTAGTTCAACAGTTCAAGTTTGGTCACTCTCTGTTAGTCTCCGTTAACTTTATCTAACGTGGCAGTCAACTCTAAAAGTTGACAATAAATAAGTGACGTGGCAATTTAAAAAAATAAAATTTACTCTTTTATAATTTCCACATCATTATCATCGTAAATTATAAAAAACTAAAACATAAAAATTAGGCTAAATTACACGTTTGGTCACTCAAATTACACAAATCTTTCACGTTTGCCACCCGAATTACTTTTCTTTCTTATTCGCCACTAACTTTATGAATTGTTTCACCGTTAGTCACCGGTCGTTAAACTCCGTTAAATTTGTCTTACGTGGCAGTCAACTATAAAATTTGATCGTTAACTAGATGAGATGGAAATAAAAAAAAAATTATTTACTCCTCATCATTCCACCTACTTTTTGATTTACCAAGCACTGCCGCTGATCTGCTCCAGCTTCTTCCTCAGCCACCTCGCATGAACCCGACCCCGCGACCGTGAAACAGGGCCAAAATCCTGCTCCAATCTACAGGATGAAACACCGCCAGCGACTTCACCATGAAATTAAAACCAGAATCCCCAGCGTCCACCACCCTTTCCCCGACCCTCGAACCCAAATACATATCGTTATTATGCCCCCACTTGTTCCCTTCAAACGTCCTCGCGAACTCCTCGATGAACCGATAAACGAGCGGGTGATTCCGGTCGAAAATTAAGACAACGTTGTTCAGCCGGCTCCACTTTCCCATTCCGACATCAAATGTATGTGCGTCGATTGAATTCCTTAGCCCGACGAGGCTCCACAGGACCACGACTTCGAAGCAAATTGGAGAGAATTCCTTAGCCCGACGATCCCAATATGTCATCTGTCTGAGCTAGCCCAATACCGATGCCCCTCTCCTTCTCCGTCAGTCCTCTGGCAATTCTGTTTCACTCCAAATGATTTTCTGTGCCTATTGAATTCAGCGGCCGACACTGATAAATCGCAAAAATTTCCCCATCAGCTCGTGTTGGAGTCTTGGAAACAACCCACCATTAAACCAACATACCCACAAATAAAGAGATGGAAAAGTGATATTTTCCTTGATGTATCAAAGATTCGGGATTGAAAGAATTTCACAGAGCCACACAGAGCAAAACTAGAGTACAATTATGCTAACTTTTGATAAACAGACCTATGTTGTTTCCCCCACCCAAAGCAGCTAGGCTAGAGTTGCTATTGTTGCTACTGGCTTCTGGAATTTACCTGTTGTTGTCGAGGTGAGAACACCATCGTCGGCAGAAATGGCTCAACTTCTGCTTCTATGAAAAGATGCAGTACTAATCGAAGTATAATCCTCCTGGAAAGTGTGATTACATCCATCGGCGGCGGTGCTTGGTAAATCAAAGTAAGTGAAATGATGAAGTGTAAAAATAATTTAATTTTTATTTATTTTTAATTTTCATGCATCTAGTTAACGATCAAATTTTATAGTTGACTTCCACGTAGGACAAATTTAATGGAGTATGAAGGTCAGTGACTAACGGTGAAACGATTCATAAAGTTAGTGGCGAACAAGAAAGAAAACTAATTCGGGTGGCAAACGTGAAAGATTTGTGTAATTTGAGTGATCAAACGTGTAATTTAGCCCTAAAAATTATAATTATAATTCCGCTCAACGTCACGGAGCGCCACTGCCTTCTCCGATTCCACATCTGCGACTCGGGAAGCTTGAGTCTAACCAAGCTTTCTTCTGTTCATAACCAACGTTTCCTTCTCCACCGCTCTACCCTTCACCTCCATGAAAAAATTCCGGCAGATTCGAAGTGGTTTTCCCTCTCCGGTCCAATGACATGTTTGATTACGACACTCAACGAGACGCGAGCTTCAAGGGCCACATTTTCTGGTCCCTGCAGCGATCCTCTGGAATGCTACTAGTCAAGAGTTTTGGAGAGATCGAAGCCGAGTACATTGACCGGGTCTCGGAGTTCATTGGGATGGAGGTCGTCCCCGTCAGCCCGCTCGTGCCAGATGACTCCGACAATAAAGTGGTGAAATGGTTGTACGAAAAAGATCCCTCGACGGCCGTGGTGTACATTTCATTCGGGAGTGAGTCGTATCTATCGGCAGGGAGAGGAGGAACTAGGTCAGGCTCTGCTGATTCTGGCGAAGAAAAGGTTGAATTTCATATGGGTTCTGAGGTTTTCAGAAGGGGAAGCAAAACGTCCAACGGAAGCGTTGCCGGAAGGATTCCTAGAGGCGGTGGGGGAGAGAGGATACGTGGCGGTGGTTTGGGCTCCGTAGCGGAAGATATTGAGGCACCGGAGGGTGGGCGGGTTCGTCAGCCACTGCGGGTTGAGCTCGATTTCGGAAAGATAAAGTACGGAGTGCCGATAGTGGCGATGCCGCTGCAGAACGACTAGGGGATGAATGCGCAGTTGGTTGAGGAAGTTCGGGTCGAGATGAAGGGTTGATCGGATTGACAGGGGAGAGGTGGCGAGGGTGATTGAGCAAGTTGTGGTTGCAGAAATTGGTAGCAGAAATAGGGATAAGACAAGGTAGATTAGGGATTGTTTGGTGGAGAATGGGGATGGACACAAGCTTCCTCGGTCGCAATGTGATTGAGCAAGTTGTGGTCCGTGACGTCGAGGAATTATAATTATAATTTTTAGGTTTATTTATTTTTTATTTTATTGTGATAATGAGGTGAAAATTATAGAAAATTATTTTTTTAAATTGCCACGTCACTTATTTAACGGTCAACTTTCAGAGTTGACTGCCACGTCAGATAAAGTTAACGGAGACTAACGGAGAGTGACCAAACTTGAACTGTTAAACTAATCTTAGTGACCATGAATGGAATAAACTAATTGGTTGACGATTCCATATCTTTGGGGTTTTTTGTTTTTTGCTCTTCAGTGTCTGGTGTTTGAGAAACCACTCTATTGTCTTCAACGAACTCACCTGAATCGGTAGCATCCTTCGACTTACCCTCTAGCTAAACGTTGACTTCATCAGAACTCGATCTCTGTTCATCCATGGTAGGAAGCAAGGCTCCCATCTGCACAATCATCAACAGTTTCCTCTGGGGATAAAAGTTTCAAAATGAAAACCTACTTCTGATGCTTCAATCGGAAGCTTTTGGACCTTCTGCTGACCAGATGAACTCCACCATCTTGGAACCAGGTTTGTCCCAACTCAATTTGATTTGTAAGCTTGTACACCACGTCTCACAATACCCCGTCTTTATATTTTCCAAATTCAAATTTCACAGAAACCTTTCCAACCATGATGCTTGAAATCTTCTCCTCAATAAACTGTAGAACTTATGGAGCTGGATGTAGACACATTGGTAGCCCAAATTTTGTCGTAGTCATTGATCTGATCAAATTTGATTTGATCCCTCTACAAGCACATAGTACACCTTCTCTTGAAACAAACAATGAGTATAGAACAAATTACCTTGCTATAACTCTTCCGCCATCGATTGAGCTTGAAGAAAACTCCATGAACTTCTTCCCCATGCCATTGATTTTGAACCGGGCTCTAACACCCCTTGATAAGATCTCGAGATCGTGAAAGCCAAGGTTCTTTCAAAAAGAAGCACACAACAACAAATAAAGCTTGGATTAGCTCGAATAGAACTTCAAACTAGCATAAAAATAAAAGGATAAGTGGAGATTGATCCTCGGCACATTCAAGTGTAATTGCTTGATTGATAAGAGTCTTCCAAACTCTTATGGAATCTTCAACAAAAAAACTCAAACAAGGATCTTGCACTAGCTATGGAATCCACCAATATCCAAAACAATAAACCATAACCACACCGGCTGTATGGGGAAAACACCTTTATGTAAAATTCTTATTTAACGAAGTCTTATCTCAAAATTTGTGTTTACAACCCTTTAAATATATCTGAAAAAATAAAACTAATGAAAACACCAAAAAGGAAAACGAATCCTAAAAAAAGGTAGTTCAGACGTCAGCCTCGATGTCCAGCCTCGATCCCCGGTCAGGGATTTAAGTGAAACTGACCGGGGGAACCTCTGTTGAGATCCCCGGTCTCCCTCATAATTCCCCGATCGGGGAATTCTGTAATTCTAGCCAGGGGGAGATAGAATCACATCGAAAGAGCTGGCTATTTCGCCAACCACAAAGATCATTACGTGCGTGGAGGCATTGGTTCAAGATTTTATTGAAGAGTTTTTCCCCCATGGGAAATCAACGATCTAAGAAACCAAATTTCTCGATTCAAACAACAACCTCATGAGTCATTGTACGAAGTGTCAGAGCATTATCAAGGTTTTCTTCGTGCTTGCTCTCATCATGGGTTCGCACAAGTACAAGTGGTCGACATCTATGGCAAGGCCCTGGATCTAAACACACGATGATGGTGAATAAAGCTGCCAAAGGTGACATGTCTAAAATGACCACTCAACGTGCTCTCGAGCACTACTTATCGATGACCGCCGAGTCTCAAAATTGGTCAACAAGAAATGCTCATGTGATAGTAAAAATGGTGTGAGGACTAGATGAATCTCTCACAGACATAGCAGAACAAATCACTGTTATTCCTTAGGAGGTGCAAGCACTCAAGATGAGTCGAAACACCCCTATAGCACAAATCTTAGTGTGCAATCAATGAGGAGAGGATGGTCATAATGGGAACAATTGCGGGGCTGTAGGAGATCCTTCAATCGACGAGTTCAACTTCATGAATACTCGTTACCCACAAGCTCGCGACTCCAATTGCCCTAACTTTGGGTACCAGAACTCACGACCTTACCTTCCAATGCCTTGGAAATCTTAACATTTGATGATCTACGTGCATACATTTGAGGTCAGGAGGTGACTCTTAAGAACATGAAGCACAAGCTAGCTTTTAATCTAGAGCTTCAAAATACCCAAGAAATGGCCAGAACTCTTCCAAACAACACGAAAAACAATCTTAAAGAAAAGGTTTAGACGCTTGAGGTCAAATCATCTACTTTTATCCACGTCCTAAGCATAGAAAGAGCAAGAAATTCAAAGGATGCGAAGCTGAAAGCTAAGGTGGCATTTTCCAAGAATGCAAAAAACGACATCATAGGCACCCATTTTGTGCAACCTTCTCGAAGGGAAAGAGGCTCGAAAACTTGTGTAGATGCTTGGCCACGATCAGTGGGACTAACTGAACCATACATGTCGAAATCTCACCTAGAATCTGCTAGGAAGATCTCCAAATTTACAAAGCCAAAAGCTATGGAACTCAACCTTGCGGTTTATTCAATTTAACTCAAAAACTGAAAATTACAACGCATCAAAGCTACTTAAATAGACCTAGCTAATCCTAACTCTCTTAGAATAGTTCTTATTACATTCTACTATTTAAAGGAATCCAAATTCAATACAAAAACAAATTAAAATTACAAGCAGTCTTCTAATCCTAATCCGAGAAGGATTTGGTATTGCTGAATTCCAAAAACAGAAAATGTGGCCTCGATACGATCTTTGGAGCTTTCGTTTGAGACCTTCTAGGTAACCCCTTGATCATCCAATGCATTGTCAATGAAGTAGAAGAAATCTACTTTCATGGGATACCATCCTTGGAACTCGACTCTCACTCAATCTTCTAGAATCGAGCTCCCAAGTGAGCTTCCCAAAACCGTTCCATGCCTTAGCCATTATTGGACAGTTTCCCGGTTTTAAGCTAGTACTTTGGGAAGCTTGAAAAGTTGCCTTCTGAGCTTTGCCTCAAGCTTCCAAACATTACAGATTGTAAACAAACATCCTTGTTCCAATACAAACCATCAAACTTGCATTTTCATCAAGCAGAGTGGAAGAACAAAGCCTGCAAAGTGGGTGATAGACCATTGATTACACATGTTTTTACCCCTATTCTTGAGCCGTTTGAGATGTCGATTCCCGTGTTTTAGGCCGATTTCACGCTAGGTTGTTCTTGTTTGTAATATTTCAGGTCCTAGTATGTGAATGAAGGTTTAGGAACGAGTTCGGGGTCGATTGGACGAAGTTTGGACGCTTGGCGAGAAGCTGAGAAGCCACACGGGCATGCCCAAAAGCCACACGGCCGTGTAGGAGACCCACTGTGGCCGTGTGAAGGCTCGACAAAAGCCACACAGGCAGCCTGGACACTCACACGACCGTATGGGTCGTGGCTGCGAGGGAAGCCTGAAGTCACTTAACGAAACGCCGCGTTTTACAAAGCCACACGTGCAGCTGGGGGAGTCACACGGCCGTGTGACATGGCCGTGTGAGTTGGGATTTTCTGGTTTTAAGCCAATTTTCAGCAAAGGAGAAGGAGTTCCAAGTTTTAGAGAGACAGAGCGATTCCTACAGAGAGAAAGGGATGAACAAGAGTTCCCAAGTGCTTTAGCTTGATCTTCATCACCATTGGAGGCCGGCTTGAGCTTGGAGAAGTGCCGATCGACGCCCAAGAGCAGAAACCCATCCTTCACAGTATGGTTTCTGCATCTGAATCTGCTTTTGCTTCTTTCTCCATGGAGTAGTTTTCTCAATCATCTGGGTATGGAGAACCCTAGATTTGTATGTTAGGTCTGATTGTATGAACCCAAGTACAGATTTTATGATTTTATTATGTTCAATTGAGGCTTGATGATTGAATGACTTGAATCCCGATCAAATTCCTGTTATTTCTGCTTTAACCTAGAAAGAGAATATCTGCCTTGGTTAATAGAGCACCCTTAATTGAAGGTGGTGAATTGGCGACTTTAGTCGAGGAGTCAGTTCACTATTCTGTACCGAATTTACTTCGGTAGTGGAGGTTTGGTTCGTTAGGGCCTCAATCTGATTACTCCGGTGGAGGTTGGTCGCCCGCTGGGGACTCAGACTGAGAGGGTCTGGAGACCTTTAGTCGAGACTTCAGACTGTTTAAGAACCTTCCGCAGTATAACTTTCATAGAAACTGAACTTGGTAATTGCAATCCGGCTTAACGACAGTCTAGGGGGAACCATATCCGGGTGACCTCTCTCGACTTGAAACAACCGTTTAACTTGCTTTGTGTTTTTGCTTGTTTGAGCCTGCACTTAATTTTCACCGCTAGATAATAAGAATTCACTGAGTAGTCATCACATCTAGACCCGGGTTGACATGAAGTGAAGTGAAGTGAAAGAGCACCCCGGTACAACGAGTCCTTGGTTGTGAATGATATGAATCCCTTTATCCATGAATTGACTGTCTTACTTCCACTGCTTCTCATGATCCTGGCTTGAGTCTAGTACTCGCATTGAGAGAGATAGGGAATGTCTTAGAAGACCAGTTGACCTCGTAAGCTGCTATATGATCTAGAAAATCCTATACCGACGATCGGGGTTGTTTGTTGCTATAGAGGTCTGGAGAGTTGCATTGGTTTGAGTGAGGTTTGCTTGGGGACAAGCAAACGGTTAAGTGTGGGGGATTTTGATAGACCATTGATTACACATGTTTTTACCCCTATTCTTGAGCCGTTTGAGAGGTCAATTCCCGTGTTTTAGGCTGATTTCACGCTAGGTTGTTCTTGTTTGTGATATTTCAGGTCCTAGTACGTGAATGAAGGTTTAGGAACGAGTTCGGTGTCGATTGGACGAAGTTTGGACGCTTGGCGAGAAGCTGAGAAGCCACACGGCATGCCCAAAAGCCACACGGCCGTGTAGGAGACCCACTGTGGCTGTGTGAAGGCTCGGCAAAAGCCACACGGGCAGCCTGGACACTCACATGGCCGTGTGGGTCGTGGCCGCGTGGGAAGCCTGAAGTCACTTAACGAAACGCCGCGTTTTGGAAAGCCACACGTGCAGCTGGGGGAGTCACACGGCCGTGTGACATGGCCGTGTGAGTCGGGATTTTCTGGTTTTAAGCCAATTTTCAGCAAAGTAGAAGGAGTTCCAAGTTTTAGAGAGACAGAGCGATTCCTAGAGAGAGAAAGCGACGAACAAAAGTTCCCAAGTGCCCTAGCTTGATCTTCATCACCATTGGAGGCCGGCTTGAGCTTGGAGAAGTGCCGATCGACGCCCAGGAGCAGAAACCCATCCTTCACAGTATGGTTTCCGCATCTGAATCTGCTTTTGCTTCTTTCTCCATGGAGTAGTTTTCTCATTCATCTGGGTATGGAGAACCCTAGATTTGTATGTTAGGTCTGATTGTATGAACCCAAGTACAGATTTTATGATTTGATTATGTTCAATTGTGGCTTGAATGATTTAATGACTTGAATCCTGATCAAATTCCTGTTATTTCTGCTTTAACCTAAAAAGAGAATATCTGCCTAGGTTAATAGAGCACCATTAATTGAAGGTGGTGAATTGGCAACTTTAGTCCAGGAGTCAGTTCACTATTCTATACCAAATTTACTTCGGTAGTGGAGGTTTGGTTCGTTAGGGCCTCAATCTGTTTACTTCGGTGGAGTTAGTCGCCCGCTAGGGACTCAGATTGAGAGGGTCTGGAGACCTTTAGTCGAGACTTCAGACTGTTTAAGAACCTTCCGTAGTATAACTTTCATAGAAACTGAACTTGGTAATTGCAATCCGGCTTAACAGCAGTCTAGGGGGAACCATATCCGGGTGACCTCTCTCGAATTGAAACAACCGTTTAACTTGCTTTGTGTTTTTGCTTGTTTGAGCCTGCACTTAAGTTTCACCGCTAGATAATAAGAATTCACTGAGTAGTCATCACATCTAGGACCCAGGGTGACATTAAAACCCAAACCCGCTATACTACGCTATAGGAAGTGGTTACACTTGGCCATTTTCTAGAGTGACAGTAGGAGTGAGTCAGTGGGTAACCTGAAACTGAAAATAGACTTAGCCAAAAATCAGAGTTGTTGTTAGTGACTGAGGTTGTTGTTTGATCAAGCGATTCTGACTTGTGTATTGATCCAATTGGGATCATATCAACGCTTATGCTTAAAATCTTCTCTTTACTCACTATGAGTTTCCACGTCTTATTTTGAGGAAAGAAGCAAGTGACGAATGAAGTCTCTAATGTGGTAACCATCTTATATGTGGGTGAGGATAGCATGAACCAGCAATACTCCTACGAGGAGCAACCTACATTCCCTCTCCACAATAAGGAAGTTCTTAACCCCATGAAATCTCTCATAAGCACCTTATTCACAAAGAGGAAGGTGGAGAGAAAGCCTACGTGAATGAATCCTCCCAATCATAAATGCTTGTACAAATATGTTTGGAAGGAGGTCAAAACTACAATGGCGGTTAACGCGAGAACTTGTCCTCATTAGAGGATAATCAACTACCCAAGTGTTGAAAATTATTCCCAAATCAGCGAACGGGGCCCCTATTACAACCCTCATAGGGATATCTCTAGGTCTGGCCAGAGTGTGCTCAATGAGTTCATCTCTTCTATAGGAGGTGAGCAACTGCATAACAATGTTGGAAGCCTTTACGAGGATATATGATCCCCTAAGAGCAATTAGGAAACTTATTCATCAATATTGTGTGCTATCTCGCAAGCTTCCGATGGGAGACATACCTTTGCACATACAACTCTTGGTACTACGAATGTTACCCGATCCGGGTCAATTCATAATCCCTTGTGTTCTCAATGATCATCACGAGATGAAATTTCTTATCGATCTAGGGTATAGTCTTAGTGCTATGCCCTTTAATATCTTTAGTTTGCTTGACATATAGAATTCGAGAGCACAATCGGGACTATATCCTTGACTAACAATTCAGTTTATCAACCATTAGGAACGACAAGGGATTTGAAGGTCGAGATAGGACCTTTTGTACTCTCCCTCGACTTCATAGTACTCCATATGCATAGAGATAGAGATTACTTTATTCTCTTTGAGGGACTCTTCTTAGCCACTTCAAGCACAATGATCAAAGTTCGTAAGCATCAACTCACAATAAGAATCGACAATGCGGAGTAGATTATCCAAAAGATTACTCCAGAAGACAAGATGGAAGATACAATAAACAATTGAGATCTACCATTGTAGAATCTAATTGTGACTCCTTGGAAACTCCTATGCCCAACTACGGGGAAGGTGTCGAATGGACACTTCCAATCGATATGGAAAATGAGCTCAAATTCCACGCTAGGGAATTCGACCAAGGGAATTCACTATCTCCGTATAGCAAGCGAGAGTTTGAGGAGGTGGTACGTAATTTTCACGTCCATGCTTATGAGTCACGTACGACTCACAACTTTGTGTCCGGTACATCCCTCGATTCACCTACCCCAGATGTTCACTTTGGGGAATGGCCCTTAGACCTTCATTGGTCTAATCAATAGAAAAGGGGCACTAGAGATGACTAGCTCAAATGCATTAAAGAGAGAGCCCTGCTTGGGAGGTAATTCATGACTAGTCTAACTTAAAGACACTAAATAAAATTACTTCTGAGAGATAACTTGTCTTTTATTTCGGCATTATCACCAATAAAGTTTGTCAACCCTAGCTCTATGGTTCGTATCTAGTACCACGCATCATGGAATACCGTAAAGATGGCACCACTAAGTGTTTTTCCATGTGAAGGTGGTCCTAAAACTTAGTAATCTACAAATTTGCACTTCAATAAAATGAGTGGTTGCATCTCTTTGGTGTGGAAGTGGTTTTGTCATAAACCCAACCTGCCTATCTTAAACGGCATTAGGTCCATATTTGGAAATGAGGTATTGTCTTAATTGTGGACCTCAATACGGAGAAAATTATTGTGACAACCATTCCATATTCTACCATCATTTCCTCATCTTCGACCATAAATGCATGCCTAGGTCCGTCCCTGTGTCAACCATTGCAAAACCTACCTCCATCGGTGGAGTTATTACTCTAGGTAATATTGGGTTTAGCGAGATGTGTACAGTTTACCACAATTTAGAGGTTTATTTTAAGTTGTTGTGCATTGCGATGTAGTCAAAACAGTAGATATTGTCCTGAGTGTTTTGAGGCTTGATCTATTGATAGCACCTTAATCGAATTCTAATTATCAGAGAAAAATGTATTGGGAAGAACAACCTAACAACCCTTTTTCCCCACATCTCCTGCGCACTCAAAGACCCTCCGCACTATGCAAGGAGAGGGAGAGAGAGAGAGAGAGAGAGAGAGAGAGAGAGAGAGAGAGATAAAGATAAAGATGTGGTGATCACCATTGGGGTGACTTTGATGATTGGAGGGGAGAGTACAATAGAGCGATGAGATTCTCCGCTCTGTCGCTTCTTCCCTGCCTCTGATCGCCTTTTACGTTCAGTTCCATATTTAGACCATCAACATACATGAAATACCATTTCTATTTTATATGTGATCACTATTGCCACATCAACAACTTTTCTCATTTCACTTCATACCAATTTCATTTTCCCTACATCAATGACATCAACTTTCTATTTCATATGGCGGGCCCAATAGACTATTTTAATACAACTCTACATTTTATCTAATCTATATAATTTTTTTCAATTTAAGATGTATCAAAAAATTATAGTAATATATTTTAATTTTATAAGTATCAATTAAAAACATAAATTATTGCTCCATCGACATCTTTTCTTGCTGCCTATAGTTGTCATAATTTAAATTTACTAATTAATTTTGATTAAGTACAATTTTTTATCGAATTAAGTCACAATTAATGGAAAAGAAAAGAAGTTAAAAGAATCTCACACTCTTCTTGACCACCTTAAAAGAAATGAAAAAGAGAAAATAAAAGAGATGAGGCAACAACTGTGAAATGGAGAAAGCCAGATGCCATGTCACAATGGAATTGGGCAATTAAAGACGATACAGATGCACTTATTTCAGTTTACGCTTGCTCGCATCCCTTCTTTTGCAGATCTGTTGTATATAAATTTTCCCCCGTATATTTCATCACTGTACTCGGTTCGATTACTTATTGTTTCCTCTCTCTCTCTCTCTCTCTCTCTCTCTCTCTCTCTCTGTTTGAATTGCAGGATGAAGGCTCTTCCCTGGGTTTGCTGCACTATTTTCATCATGAATGAACTCGAAGATCACGGAGAATAATGGTACGAAGGGGACATAAGTTTGACATTATCTATTAGCAGGAGGGCAAGAAGAAGAAAATAGACATTGATTGTTGGATCCAGAAAATCAAATAGGTCGAGAAAGGTATAGTATCTTTCTCTTATTTGTATTATTACAATTGCTTGAAAAGGCTTTCAATTCATATTTAGGTGTTGCTTTTCAGAAATACATGTGAAAAAATAGCCTAACAACTTGTTTCTAAATGGCCACGGAGTAACCAAGCTTTGGATCATGCCGCATAAGAGAACCAAACTTTTGAGAAAAGAGGAAGAAAGATGTTTGTTGGGATGATTAGTGGCAACAAAATTCAACACCCAATCATGGAATTAATTTTAAATATTGGTGATAAAGTTAATTTGTATTGCACTTTTTATGTCCCTATGGATCGGTGACCAAATATGTTGAGTGGTGTAATCATGAAATCTTCCTTCTTAACAAACTAGTCCCCCCACTAAACACCAAGCTGCTTGCTTTCCCTTCCTTGATATCAGCCCTTACCATACCAATTTTCCCCATTCCCTTTCATTCTCTGGCCGCTCCTTTGTATCCTATGACCTATACTCGTTAGTTCAATTTCAGCAACACATCTCGTCGAGTACCAAAATTATTACCTAGCTGTGCTGCTCATGGAAAATCCACGCTCAACCTAGCTAGATCTTAGTTAGCGGGTAAAAGGTTCATATAATTACATAATTCGAATCGACTATAATCGAATCCCAATGTACTCGATGTTCAATACGATCTATGATTTTGTGCTTTCGTTCAACTTGGTCCCCCAGAAACAAAATGAGGTAAGCAACTTATGTGAAACAATTCATAAAACGGTAGATTTTCATCACAATCATCTCAAAAAAAATTTAAAAACCCCAAACAATCTCAAAATAAATAAAAACTTACCCCCTCAATCGTCATCTTTCCTTCTCCAACTTCTTAATTATGAATTTTAAATCAAACTCGTTTCGTCTAAATGAAATTATAATCAAGGATAGAAGAACGGTATATTTTCTGGATGATAGCATGACACGAATTTTTTATTTTGCACTTAAATTCTGTTTTGGTGATTAACCATAATCAAAGCTCCCAAAATAGAAAATTTATTAGTCGAATTTACTTACTATCTGTCCCTCCCAAATTAAATTTTCCCCAGTCTCCTAGTCAACTAATTACCATGATCATCGACGAGTTTGACTAAATTTAAATTACCAAACCCATTACCGACGAAAGTTTCCATTTCCTCTCCCTTTGATTCCTCTTCCTTGCCATATTTTGCCCATTCTCTATTCCCATTCATCTCCGCCTCCTCCCAGCACCTACAAACCCACTATATTAGCAGACAAAGAAGACAACACGCTAAGCCAGTTGCAGAGAATACAGCAACAGAACAACAACTTCATTCATATAATGGGGACGACAACGTCGTCTATGGCGGCAAAACTGGCCTTCTATCCGCCGAACCCGCCGACGTATAACGTCTCGGCCGACCAAGTGACCGGTAAGCTCCACCTCAGCATCCGGGGTCACCGGCCGAGGAGGGCCGTCGACGTGGAAGTCATGAAGCTGCCCACGAACAAAGGGAACGAAATAGTGGCGATGTTTGTGAAGAACCCGTCGGCTTCCCTCACCCTTCTTTACTCCCACGGAAACGCCGCCGATCTGGGCCTCATGTACTTCATCTTCACCGAGCTCAGCTCCCATCTCAACGTCAATCTCATGGGGTCAGTATTCCTCTTTTCCAAAAACATAATTCCCCAAATTCAAAATCCCATTTTTACCGGTTCAATTTCAACTAATTAAATTGCTTCCACGGATAACCTCTGTTTCTACTGTGATGTTTCAGGTATGATTATTCAGGGTATGGGCAGTCCTCTGGAAAGGTATCTATAATATATGGAAGAAGAATTTACTTCATAATCCATAACACATAACTGCAACATATTTTTTGTAATGGTTGTTAATACTGGGAAATGTCCCCTGGTTTTTGTTCGATGATGGTATAGCCAAGTGAACAAGACACTTATGCAGACATCCAGGCAGCCTATAAATGCCTGAAAGACAAGTATGGGATGAAGGAGGAAGACATAATACTGTACGGGCAGTCACTTGGGAGCGGACCTGCACTTGAACTGGCTACCCATTTGCCCCAACTAAGGGCACTCATCCTCCACAGCCCTATCCTCTCTGGCCTCAGAGTCATGTACCCTGTCACCACGAGTTGCTGGTTCGACATCTACAAGGTAATACTATGGCCATATTACCATACCCTCTTCGCCATTTGCTACATTTGTGACAACACATTCCTTCTTTGCAGAACATTGACAAGATCCCATTGGTAAACTGCCCGGTTCTTGTAATCCATGTAAGTGTAACGATGTGGAGTCACAAGAAACATGGGTTTCTAATTCTTCCCCTGCATTCTGTGTTTTTTTTTTTTTCTCCATGTGTTTCCAATTTGTTTTTTTTGGCAGGGAACAGATGATGAAATTGTGGACTTTTCCCACGGGAAGCAGTTGTGGAAGCTGTGCAAGGACAAGTACGAGCCACTGTGGGTGGAGAAAGGGAAGCATTGTGACTTGGAGACATTTCCTCAATACTTGACCCACCTACAAAAGTTCGTCTCCGCTGTCGAGAAGATCCCTCCCCAGCTTTGCGATGCGAACAATTTGCCCGACGGTTCACCGATTGTGATGCATCGCGGTGATAAGACCTCGGGCGTTAAGGAGAGGTCTAGGAGGAGGGTGAGCGCGGATCACTGGGATGGCAAGCGAAGGCAGAAGGACAAGAGCTCTGAGGAGCAGAGGAGGCAGAGTACAGGAGGCAGAGCTAGCGTCGAAAGGAGGGACGGTAACGTTAAGATACCGTCACGAAAGAGCGTTGATTCTTCAAGGAACAGCTTTGACAGGTTTAGTGACGATGAATAAATTTTTGCATTTGGGATTTAGTATGTGTTTTAAAGATGTAATGATTGGGGTCGTTCTTGCTTGTTGCAGGTTTGGGGAGATGGTGAGGTCGGTTGGATTGTGCAATGTGGATTGTTTGAAATAAATGAAGCTCGGGGCCTAACAATGGGGTCGATTTGAGGATACTGTTGGGTGCAGATAGTAGTAATAAGACGACTAGTAGTAGTGTAGTAATGCGCAATTTTTCATTGCATGTCTATCTTCGTTCCTTGACTGGTCATGTATATTGTTAGGAACATACGTTCTGAAGTTGTTATGCCTTGGTTTGATTCAGCCAGCAATCATTCAATATAAGTGAAATTGTCTTAGGGGTTGTTTGTTGGATGTATTTTGGGATGAATTTGGATTACTAATGGATTTTGTCCAAATTTCAAATTTCAATGTTTGCTTTATGTGTTTAGTGGCAACAATTTATGGGGTTCACAAATTTGAGGGTCCATGGTTTTTCAAAACCCTTCATTTTCAAACTCATGAAGCAAACGACTCGATCGGTTCAATGATAGTAACATCTCATACACTTCTAACTTCTTAAGAAAAAGTGGAAAACAACTCAATTTTGTTCATGATGGTTAAGGAAAATTCAATTTCTTCTATTGCTTGAACGACTTATTTTGGGTAAACCACCATCAATATTTCTCCATGGACATTTAACATTCTCCCAACATTTCATCTCCCATCTAGCTCCACACTCCTAGCAAATCTAGATCCCTTGGTACCATTTCATAAAAATCTCAACATCAACGTAAAATTGAAATCTAACGCAACCGTCGTTTACTTTACTTCGTTGAATTTTCCCTCTAAGTTCCCTTACGAATTCAAATCGTACGCATCGTCTCCAAGACTGATATTGGAGAGATTGAAACTTTGCCGGCTGATTGTTCTGTTCACTCAAAAACTCTCCCTCAAGCCCCAGGTGTTCTCTCCTTCACTTCACTCTTGTCCTAGACGATCTTGAACTTTACTTTTCTCAAAGGAATGAATGGGTGTACCAAAACAATGGAAAGGCACGAGAGAGAGCTAGTTTTATCCATCTTCCTTAGTTTTTATGTTCCCGACAAAAGTGGGTGGTGGGTGGGTCTTTGTAGTAGACGTTTAATGGTAGTCTCAATGGTGCCTAGTCCACTAGTAACTCTCTCCACAAATCATCAATTTTGGGCTTTGAAAAATCAACCCAAGTATTATTTTCTCTTTCTTTTGCCACAGACGGACCAAGGGTTCATGTGTTGAATTCGTTCAGAATCTGATTATTGAATGGGTTGGAATGGCTCATTGTTGATACTTGTGTTCTATGTGTCTTGTAGTAGGTATGTTGATCAGAGATTTTTTTTCAGTAATAATACCTTTTAAAAAAATTACAAAAATAGCATCCAATCCACAAAAATTTCAAAAATAGCACCTTTACAAATAAACCGCACCTTCAAGGTGCGTTTTATGTGCAAACCGCACCTTCAAGGTGCGTTTTATGTGCAAACCGCACAACGGGGGAGCGGTTCAAGCTAGGGCAGCCCGAAAACCGCACTCTCAGCGTGCGGTCCGCGTTCCCGAGTCGGTGGTCCCCAGGACCGTTGGATGAGGTGGCGATCCTACGGCTAACCGCGCGCCAATGCAGCGATCTGTGTCAGAGATCGAAGACCGCGCGCCTAACGAACGGTCAGCGCCTCGGTCGCCATGAACCGCGCCTTCTTAGTGCGGTTTTGCAATGAGCAAAATTACGAGACCGCCCTTGAAGGGTGCGGTCTGATTGGTATAAATACATCCCTCCCCCTCCTCATTTTTTCACACCACAACCCATTCTCCTCTCTCTCTCTCTCAAATTATCTCTCTATCCATCCACCTCCCCTCCCAAAAGCCTAGAAAATAGTGGTATGTTGGTTGCGGCTAAGTCCGATCTGCCATCAGAAAATATTTCTTTGGCTTTTCCTTCAAAACCCACCGAATCTCTGTCCGACTTTCGCGAAAAAATGGACGAGTGGTTCCAAGAAGAGGGAATTTATTATGATGAATTTCAAGCGGTACGTACTCATTACTAAATGTTGTTGTTATAACCTTTTTCAATTAATCTATGTACTAATGTTATTGTCATTCTCTTGAAGGTTGGGGACGACGTGGATATATACAACCAACGGCATTATGTTGATCAAGGGCCTAGTGATCCAAATGTGCTGTACGACCAACACAACCATCGTTCAAGGGATGTTTTGAACGATCACGAGGTACATACAATTCTTCATCATTTCTCTTTCTTTTAATTTGTTAACGTACTTAGTGGAATATAAAATAAATTTGATCATTTTTAATCGTATTGGTTGTTTTCAATTAATTTAATCGAATACATAGCGACACTTACTTAGACTCTTTACAAAGAGTTGCATGCCTAAGAAAATTGGGTTTTAAGCGATTATCATGATCCTCCCATTCCCTGGAAAAATTGAGTTTTAAGCGATCCTCGGATCCCCCCTTTTTCTGTCAAAAAGGCTACATTTCTAAAAAGATGTATACCTCTTCTAAGAGTCTTACGAGTGTTGCATTGTATTCGATTAAATTATTTAAAACAACCAATACGATTAAATTATTAAAAAAACAAATATGATTTATGTGTATGTGTAAAATAATGATTTTATTAATTTCAAATATTTTAATATGTATCTATTTAAATTATTATTCATTTAAAATGTTATTTAATTTATTAAGTATGTTTGCTTTATGAAATTATGAATATATCTTGGAAAAAATCTTGAATTATTTTGTTTGTTAATAATATAATTATAATAAAATTATGGTCAAAGTTAATTCATTTATTTTAATTAATTTAGTTATAAAAAAACTATTACTAGTATATCATAAATAACGTTAAATTTTTCGCTAGGAGGCATACCAAATACTCCGCTATAGGGGTACGACTAATGTGCTCCCCTGGAACGACGTTATTTTGCCCTTTCTCAAAAGGGCACGGTTGGAGTCGATTAGGCATTTCGTGGGTATAAAAATTGATCATCAGCTCATCACCGCATTGGTGGAGAGATGGCGAAAAGAGACACATTGCTTCAAATTTCGCGAAGGAGAGTGCACTATCACTCTAAAGGACGTCGCCATCCTAAACCATCTACCCATCGACGGCAAAGCAGTGTGTGTGAGTGATCATGCGCCCGAGGATGTTGGCGATATGACCGGTTGGCAGCATTTGATCCGTAGTGTTTTGGGGGTGCGAGTGCCAGTCAAGGGGACCGTTGATGAAGTGGTTGGAGGACCATTGAGAAAAAACCAAGTATCAATCACTTGGTTCACGAAGTGGTTGGAGGACCAACACGATCCTACAAAAGGCGGGGTGCCCCTGACCAAGGAAAGTCCCGAGGAGGTGAAGGAAAGATATGCTCATGTCTATCTCATAGGCATGACCGGAGGAGTGTTCTTCTCCAAAAAAGTCCAACAATTTACTTAGTTGTGGATGGCTTAGGATCCTCCTTGGTATTTGGGATGCAATGGGGGAGTTGAGCTGGGCATCCGTTTGCCTAGCTAATATCAACCACCATTTGTGTAATGCATCTCTCAAAGCTGTGAGGGAGGTTTGCTGGGCAATGTTCATCGTTCAATTTTGGGCTTGGGAGCATCTGCCATGGATTGCACAGGAGAAACGTCCCGACAGGAATTGGCCCGTCGACCATCCCCTAAGAGGTGAAGCTTATGGTTGTAGGTAAATTTCTCATACCCAATCATGGTTTTCATAAAACAATTTCGTTATTTAGTTATAACATTTCATTATTGTCTTACTAATAAGGTGGGTTGGAGGCACAACATGCGACAACCTTTCCCAACACAAGTTGGCGGAGTATCGGAGGAAGCTAGAGCGACTTTGGGAAGGAGAGGTTACTAGAATACTTCAAAATGTTATAACTTTTTTTTGATGGAGTACATGTATTTTCCAATTTCGTTTAACTTAAGTTTTTCATTTCTTTATGTAGATCATTTACGATCCATACCCTGCCAACATTGTTACATGGCATTGCCAGCAATTTCAGGGTCATATCGGTCAATGGTGCACGAGTCCCTCTCATTTGTCACCATATCGTGGAGTGGCATTTGCCGAATAGATGCCTCCGTCAGTTTGGTCGGGAGCAATACATTCCTTTGGAGGTCCCCGAGAGTCAAATAGCATTTCACCACCAAGATGGTCGGCAAGGTGAGCAAGATTAGCCCTTGAAGGTGTCGAAATTCATCCGGATGTGAGAGAACCGACAAGATTTTGAGATTTTCACTCCTACAGTTGTGGGTCGAATGGGGTATCATGACCCATACATGGATAGATATCGACAACAATCGGTTAGGTACGTGACTCCAGAGGGTGCGGTTTATGGTGCATTGGTAAGTAATTCCGTGTAATCAATTAAATTTATTGCTTTTTCATGGACATATCATTAGTTTAGCCTTGCTAACTTTTTAATGTTATTTAGGTTGATGGGCTCGAGCGTATCAAGGATATGACTCATGGTCGTGATCAACTGGTAAAGGAAGAAGTGGGCTTGCTGAGGAGGATGAGAAACAGCCTGCTTGGGTATATCAAAGCACAGGGTCGTGATCATCATAGATACCCGCCCATGCCCGCACTAGTGCCACGTCCGGTAGCAATTGATATGGACAACCCCGCACCACCATACGAGAGAAGGAAAAATAAGAAGATTCGGGAAAGACCTTACGTGCCCGAGATCAGGCCGATTGAGGGGTGCAAAGTGTCGGGTCCTTTGGAAGTGACACACGGTGCCGGCCCCAGCTACCATCAGGATCCCCACCCCAGCTCCTCACACGGTGGAGGCCCGACATACAATCAGGATCCCCACCCCTCCTCTTCCTACGATCCCCGCCCGAGTTCCTACCAAGATCCCCATCCTACCAAGATCTCCATCCTACCAGGATCCCCGCCCGAGTTCAAACCAAGATCCCCGCTTGAGCTCCTACTACAATCCTCGACCAAGCTACCCACAATCCCCCCGCCAGATCTCCTACTATGATCCTCGCGCGAGCTACCCTCAATCTCCCCGACCGTCATCCTACTATGATCCCCGCCCGAGCTTCTTCAACGACCCCCCTACATCCTCGGGTACTTGGCATGATGGTTCATCCATGACTGGACAACCCGACTTCAATCCTCTTCCTCGCCCTCACTAACCGTGGCCTCCTACTCCTTACCGTATGAGCGTGGATGTCCACTGCCCGACCTTGGAAGAGCTTCTTCCCACGGATTGCCGCTGCCACAGCACCGACAAGCGCCATAGCACGGCGGCAGATCGGAGGTACGGTTTTTCCTTCCGTTAT